CTGGCTGACAGATGAACTTCGGCATGCCATCCATATCCAGAATAACTTCAGCTTTGTTTAACAAGAATATAACATAGCATAAATATCTGAGTCTAGAGATGGAGAGAGGTTGACAGGAAAGCACAAAAAGAAAAAAAATACAGATCTGTGGGTTGCCCTCTGGAGTCCACCCCCATTGGCTTTGTTTTGCTTTACAGTGTGTTTTGTTCAATTCAGGATGGGGGCAAACTTCACCTAAATCACCTGGATCTTGCTCCAGCAAAATTTCAGAACTGGGGTTTTCAATAGCAGACACCTTCAATTCTTGGCTGTTTCTATGCCTTTCGGAGGAAAAAGAGCTGGGTGAGCCGTGGAACCTGGTTCTCTCTTAGAAGCCAGGGAGCAGAGGCAACACTTTCCCCCCACTGCAACGTCAGGATAAAAAGAATAAATCCATCTTCACAAAAGTCTTACTCGCAGCTGTATTAATTCAGGAATTAACTGTAAATATTCTTTACAGCATACTGTCCTCTCTCTCTCTTCCCTTTCTCTCCTTTTCCTAGGCAGTAACAGAATGCTTGGCTCAGTAGGGGTGTTGATACCCTAGGTTTTCAAGTTACTATAATCAAGTGCTGAGTGGAGGAGTGAGAGAACCCTTGGCGGTTCAATGTTACAGACAAGGTGAAACAGAAACAACAAACTCATTTTGTTGACTCATGATATGCAGATTCTCATTACAGGAAAGGAATGAAACTCATTGCCACATTCCCTCACGTAACATTCTAAGAAAACGCAAAGAATAGCTAAGGACATCCCCCGCCCTCTGGTGACGACTTTATTAGGAAGACAAAATAAGCCATATGCCTAGGAGTAGAAAAGTCATCAAATGGCATAATATTAAAAAGAGTGGCAAGTGCAATACAGAGATCAGTTCACCAGCAGTAGATAACAAACAAGATTGTTATTTGCTGTGAACTCGGGATGTTTCTGAAAATAAAAAAAATGTACACGTACTTATTTTTAAACTAAACTGAATTGCATTTTAAATGTGCTAGGCAAGGCAACAGTTTAAAGAAATGTTGGTGACTTACAGGTCCCAGGAATACTCTCTCATGTTTTGTAAATGCGAATCTGTATACTACATGGTAAAAGTATCCATCTAGAAAACACAGAGATAGCTGGAATTTTCTTACATAGGAGCGAAATTGTATTTGGTGTTATTTAACAGGTACTTTGAAGATAGAAAGCCTGGTACTTTCATTTTTGTTGTTTGTTTGTTTGTTTGTTTGAGTTGAAGTCTCACTCCGTTGCCCAGACTGGAGTGCAGTGGCTGCTCCCGGCCGCCACGGCCTCGACCTGCTGGGCTCCAGTGATCCTTCTGCCTCAGCCTTCCAAGTAGCTGGAACTACAGGCAAGCGCTACCACACCTGGCTAATTATTTTTTGATTTATTGTAGAGATGAGGTCCCACCTGCCCAGGCGGGTCTCGAACCCGTGGGCTCAGGCAATCCACTCACAGACCTCTCCTCTCAATCACCATGTCTCATAAATACAAGGTTCCTTGGGTTGCCTGAAATTCAGTCTATTTAGGCAGGGATTAAGACTGCCAAGCTTCTTTGGGTTCTGGTTCTGGACTACAGGACTCACTTCATTACTTTTCCCTTTGTTTGAGGCCCACAGTTCTGCTTTGTCAAAAACATCAGCTGGCTTTGTAGCTTTATAGGAAAACAATTCCCTTAATGGGTAATCTTTTATGAGAAAAAGTGAAATTAACTAGTCTTTAAAGCTTGTATATTCTTATAGTAAAATGTCCTTGTTTTGTTTTGAAATAGATAATTTTAAGCCACCATATATGACATGTCCAACTTTCTTGTTTTTGTATATATAGCTGTATAAACATCTTTTTTTTTTTTTTTTTTTGAGTTGGAGTCTTACTCTGTCGCCCAGACTGGAGTGCAGTGGCCATTCCCAGTCACAGCAGCCTCGACCTGCTAGGCTCCGGCGATCCTTCTGCCTCAGCCTTCCGAGTACCCGGAATTACAGGTGCACGCTACTACGCCCGGCTAATTTTTTGATTTATTGTAGAGATGAGGTCTCGCCTGCCCAGGCGGGTCTCAAACCCACGGGCTCAGGCAATCCATTCACCTCAGTCTCCCAAAGGTACGGGATTACAGGCTGAGCCACCGAGCCCGGCAGTACGTTCATTTTTTAATGGGATTATAAATTGCTGTGGTTAAAATAATCAAATTTGGAGAGGCGGTGCTAAAAATAATGATGGTGGCAACAAATTCTAAACAGCAGGAGTACCAAATTCTACACTCCTTTGCAACTTCTGCTACAAAGATGAGTACTTACTAGCTCCAAATCAGACATGCCAAGGTTTGAACCCCCACCCTTTTATCTCGGCTGCTAGCTGTGTGTCCTGGGGCACATTATTTACATTCTTTATGTCCCATTTAATCATCTGTAAAATGCAATTAATAAGCCCTTCTTCATTGCTTGTTGTTGGTTAGAATTAAATGATAAGTGTTTAAAGCAGTTGACATAAATTCATAATAGGAATACATTTTCCAATTATGTTTAACAGTTTTAGGACCTAGACCAATTTTTTTGGTTATCCCAGATAAGTGGGTGAAATATAAACAAACAGAATAACCACAAATATAAACACTTTAGGTAATCACAATCAGGCCAAGAAATAAAGTATCACCAGCATACAAGAAACCCTGTCCATGACCTACCCAATCAGTGCTATCTCTTTCCTTCCTGCAAATAAGCATCTTCCTGACTTCTAACATTGTAGCTTTTTGCCAGTTTTTGAACTTCATATGCACAAAACCACATAATACAACTGACTTTTTAAGCTCTGCATTGTGTTTAGAATAATCATCCTAGGTGTTGCATATAGCTCTGGTTTGTTAATTTTCACTGTCTGAATATATCACAATTTATTTTCCAGTCTTTTACTAATGGACATTCAAGTCTGAGACTCCTATAAAGAATGTCCCTACAAATGTCTGCCTGCTTTTTTTTTGTAAGTAAATTTTCTCAAGTGATAAGCATAGGATCTAAAAGATACTACATTTCTAAAACCTTAGGAATCCATAGTTATGGACTGCTTGCTAAAAACATTTGAATTATAATATCATATCAGGATGCATTACAGATATATTTAAGTTGTACCATTATGTGAGAAATCATTGTGTAAGAGAAGGGACACTTAACCAAAATATAATCAGTGGGAGTATTTAGAGCCTCATTAGACCCTAGTGAAAAATCAGCAAGGTTGAAAATATTTGTAAAAATTTCAGGGAGAGCTCTCAAGAAATGGCAAGCAACACAGGACCAAAATAACAGCAATTGCACATCTGCCACGTTCCTATCTCAGTCAGCTTGGAGGTATTTTGTAAAACAAATAAGGTTCAATTAAAAGAATATGGAATCAGTATTCAGACTTCCTGCTTGAGAAGAAATAGCCTTATTTAAAAATAATAATGACATTTCCATTAGAAACTCTTTTAGTACCTAATTATCTTGGAATCAGACTTGGCTTTGAATACTGTCTCTTCTATCTGCTAACTTTCATTAGTTAGCCACTCTGTGCTTTTATTTCTTCTTCTGTGAAATGGGTACAACAAAAACTACTCTTTTGGTCTCAGGGGATTGTTGAGAGGATTAAATGAGATGATACTGTAAACTTTGTGACCTATACGATACTATAAAGATACGATTATGTTTGAATAATTAATGAAAGTTAACATCTATTAAGTGCTTATTTTAGGCTGGACACTGTTCAGAGTGCTTCTACCTGAGTCATTTTGTTTAGTCTTCAAAACCTCACTGTGAAGTTAGTTTATTATAATGATGATAAAGCAGCTACCTATTACGATGATTATTTTTCACAGGCTATTTGTGATAGAAGCCAGAATTTTAAAATAAGCCTGATTCTAAAACCTTTTCTTGTATTATCCCATTTATGAACTGTGGTACTTAAACACTTAAGAGGCAGGATGGTGTGCCTGCATTGGAGGTTAGGATCAGGGTTTCATGCTCCAATTTGCTATTATCTAGTAAGGTGAAATTTTATTTACTTACTTTTTATTTTAAAGATATGGGGTATAATTCAAGATCAGGTATACAAGGGGTCATCGTATAGGTAAAGTTTGGGCTTCCCTTTATTCGCCCCTTTGCCTGTTTTGAGATCAGGTACCCTGGTTTATCAAGGTGAAATTCTCTACACACACCCTCAGTCATATTCTTCATTTATGAAACAAGAAAATAAGATGAGAGAACATCCTAAAATCTGAAAGTCTTCTAACTATCCCCAACTGGGGTTTAAGTAGAAAGACGGAGATCATGAAGTGAAAAGTATTGAGAGAGGGATGTTAATTTCAAATTCAAATGATGTAAACTGGATTCTAATAAAATGTCTTCAAGGAAGTTCCTGACTGTTACCTTAAAAAATTGATATAAGGAAAATTTAGTGTATAATCAGTAATGTCATTTCCATAATAAATATTTCAAATTATATCATTATAAAGAATGTGTTCTCTTACATAGATTGAAGAAACCAGCCAGCTCTACATGTCCTAAGTTTACAATGTTTTTAAAATTTTATGGGCAACCCCTCCCACTGTGGGAGCTTTTCTGTCCTCTCAATAAATCCTATTTTTTTAAAATTACTTAACAATGCATATATAATTGTATATGTACGTGTGTGTGTGTGTGTTTTCACTTGTCCCAAGAATGACCTTTGGAATAGTAGTATCTGTCTTAACAAAGTTTTTATAGGGCATTTTCCTAGAAGGAAGGAAAAAAATCAATATTATACAGAAAATAGAACTCAGTGACGCTAGGTATATAATCCAAAACTTTTTTTGGATATAAAGTATATAACACTATCATCTCAATAGTATGCACTTAAAATTTTATCACTTTAAAAATGTAGATCTATTTTTAAAACTCAGAATATTTTATTTAGTAATTCAAATGATTATTATTTTCTTTCAGGTTCCTCTTAAGAAAGTCAATACCAAAGAAGGCTACAATGTTGACCTTAGCCAAAATTCTGTTAATTTCAACTTTGTCTAGTTCACTACTATTTGAGGGCCATGGGAAAGAAACTCTAGACTTAAACACAACACAAAGCATTGCAGACATTTTGAAAACAATGGGAAATCAACCTGTTTCTTTGGAAAGTGAAGCAAATTTGAGCTGGTATAAGGCAAAGAGTAACACCACGAAGCCCAAAACAAGTCTTTCCCCTCCTTTGGTTCCATTCAACAAAACCCAGGGATCATCAGACTTTTCCAGTAACTCATCCGCAGAGTACTTTCCCAGCAGTTCAGGACCCACACCCACGTTTTCCACAAGCTCCCCAATGATCCATGGCTTTGTTTCTAAATTGCCTTGGAATGCATCTCTAGCAGATGACCATTCTTTGCCAGTCTCAGGACATCCCAATGCAACACCTGCTGTGTCTCTGGAAAACTTCACTTGGTCTTTGATCAATGAGACCATGAAAGCTCCTGACAACACTTCCGCTACAGTTAGCATCCTGCCTCCGGAACCAACTACTACACCTGTGACCCCCTTGATAATGGAACCAACCGAATGGCTTACCACCACTAGTGACAGTTTTGCCGGGTTCACGCCCTATAGAGAAAAAACAACTCTACAGCCCACTTTAAAATTCACCAATAATTCAAAACTCTTTCCAAATACATCAGACCCTGACAAAGGTAACTATGAATGGATTTAATTTTGCTTTTGTGTGAAACTGAGTCTTCAAATAAGTCATGCAGATTAAGTCTAAGATAGGTGCCAGGCCAGCAAAGTTGAGGAGAACACTATAGTACAGATGGTTCTCGCTTTCAAATGATGGTCATTAAATCCATTGGAAATAGTGAAGTGGTTTTGGGGCTAAAAAGAACAATATTCATTTCTCTTTGGGAGTGTAAAGAGACTATGGGACAAAATGTGAAGTCGGTTAGGTCAGGAAATGATAGAGAATGAAGCAGTGATACAGTTCTGAGATACTGGGTAACAATTTTAACTGAATCTTAAAACCTGCCTACAAGGTCACATACTCACGGGCTCACTACACACTGAACTTTAAAAATATATGTGAGTTTTGAACAAAATAAATGAATTTATAAATTATCTACCACCATCAGAAAAATTAATTATATGAACATTTTTTATGTTTCATATAGGAATTATGTCAAGCTTTAAAACTCAAAGTGAAAAAGGTATCTAAGATTTAATAACTCACTCATCATCTTTTTTTAGGTCTAACCATGTTTTTTCTCCTTGAAATGTTATTTTTTAAAATAAGTACAACTTTTTCTCTATGAACTTACTGCCTTCCAATGCTACTTACTTAACGATTATATTCATTAATGTAAATTTAGAGATTAATGTAATTTACTCAGAGGTTATAATAATATAATATAAAAACCATGTCATGAATACAAATTCCTATTTGAAAATTGTTGCCAGTATATAGGAAAAGTTTTAAATTCTGAAATCTAGGCTTTATTATAGTTACACAATTAATACATTGTATATGTGTGTGTATGTGTGTATTTATTTGGCTTTCATTTTAACACATCCTGTCATTCATGTATGTTCTGCTACTCCATTAGAAAGACTAAAAAATTTCATTTCCTTTGTCTATCCAAATCTAATATACATATTGAGAATACTGAGTACTCACTCCTAATATTGCTCTTTTATCTAACAAAAATTTAGTTAATTTTGCTTCTCTTTTATTTTAGTATTTTACTGTACTCCATCATGAAGGTTAATTTTTCCTAGAAATGGGTATTGTATAAAATCAGAGATCCTGTAAGACCCTTTGCTTACCTAATTAATACACTTCTCAAAAAAAGGAAAAAAAAGTGAAAATAAAATACGTTAAATTTCACTTCAGGAAGCAGTAAGTATTTTATTGATATCTAGTCTTCAAATAAGGTATTTAGCAAAAAGAATGATATGGTGAAATTGTGGACTCCCTTAAACTTGAAGCTATACAATGGTACTTGGTATGCAAGGCACTGCCAATATCTCGCCTTGCCCATTTGTTTGATTTGAAAGTAACCTCTACCATGATGTATTTATTTTCCTGTATACTGCCTTTTTACTTGGAGTTCTGTAGATTCATTACTCCTATTAGCTTTTTAGCCTTGACATATTTGTAGAAACAAGTTCTATGTTCATTTCACCATTAAAGTTCAACAAATATTCAGAGTTTATGAAAAACTTAATGAATCCATCATTCAACACTGAAATTGAAGCTTAATGGAGTCTACACATGACATTTAGTATGTTAATAAATATTAAGGTACAGTTATAAAGTTTAGACTTAGAAGTATTTTGGTGTAATTAAAACGAGTAGTGCTGTTGTTTTTTTTATATGTAGTTTTACCATCATATTCCAAATAGTACTTTATAAAACACACACACACACACACACACACACACACACACACACACACACACACACACCACACATTCATATTCATCATTAACTATTTTTTAAAAACTGATAAATAATTTTTGGTATATAGAAAGTTCACTTAAACATATTTCTATGCTTTTAATAATCATTTTCTATTTCTTATTTGTAAATTTTTTCTTTGTTCTCTAGAGAATAGAAATACAGGAGTAGTATTCGGGGCCATTTTAGGGGCTATTCTGGGTGTTTCACTGCTCACTCTTGTGGGTTACTTGTTGTGTGGAAAAAAGAAGACGGATTCATTTTCCCATCGGAGACTTTATGACGACAGAAATGAACCAGGTAAAAGTAACTTTTGAAACTTCAGCTGGATGCAGTGGTTTTAATTAAGAGAGGATGCCAATGTCCACTGCCTGGAAGGATTTCAAGAGTTAATAAGAAAAAACAAACTAAAGATGTATTCTGATCTCTTTTTTTTTTTCTCAAAGAACAAAACCAACATAATTATAGACGTGCAAGTAAAATTTAATGAAAACATTTGGAATTGTTGCCTGTTGCATCAAAATTGCTTAAACAATAACATCAGAATCTAAAACATATGTTTAAAAATTGTAAGATAAAGGTATGACAGTAAGAAAAAAAAAATGGCTGTCTTGTTAGCAAGTGACTGCAAAGTTATTTTTGGCCATTGTTAGATCTCTACATAGCAGTAATTTGAACACAAAATTATTCTAATTTGGAGCTTTATAGATTTTACACAGATACAGAAGCCCTTCACTCACCATCTTATTGGGCCTCCAAAATAAAATATCTAAAAGTTGCATACTTGCACACATAAAGTAACACTGTACCTTAGTTCTGGAATTTTCTACCCTATGATGGAAAAGGCCAAATATAACATATGGGAATACAAAGATATATGCTAAAATAAAGTTGCAGGTTTGAACTTTAATAGTCTAATGTCAATGAGAGATTTGATCTAATATTTGACTCATCTCTATTTTTATACTTCATGAAAAAAATGTCTTCTGGTTTGCACAGGGTACTCTTGTCACTATAACAAATAGTGAAATGCTTCTGGTGGGTCACAATAATAAAATCTTATTGACTTTTGACCAGTTCATTCGATGACTGACGTATTTCTCATCTTGAGAACAAAAGCAAATAATTGCAAATTTAACTGAAATTTGTTATGTGTTTCTGGTAACTCATATAAAGTAAAGAAAGTAAGACTCTTCCAAATCGAAGAATAGAATTTCTAACAGTGGTTTCCAAACACTTTTTTCAACCTAACAACTTTTGCTTTACATGCAATCTCAGCAAATACTCCTTCTATTGAATCGATACAATCCAAGCTGTTGTGACAGACACACAAAGGAATAACTCAGTCGTAACACCTGTTTTACACCTTCAAGACAGCTTTTGTTCCCAAAGACCTAGGGGTCCTGGTAGCCTGGTTTGTAAACAGATGGCCTCAGGAAGAGGTAGATAAACAATTGATGATATTGAAGTATAATTATGTTAGTAATTTAATTAACAATTAGGCACTGCTTGTAGTAACATAAGATACCTAGAACATGGTCAATATTCCTTTAAAAATGAATTCAAGACCATTAAATAATCAATTGGTTATATGTTTAACAACTAAGAAAACAGTCACCAATCATTAACCAGAAAACCTCAAGCGTATGATAACTTGAATCCATCTAGAGGAAACATAAACTTCCAAAAATAGTTTTCCTTCTTCGCCACCTTAAAGTGTGTCGTAAAGATTTTGAGATACTTGGTAAAATAATGATGTTGATTTTCAAATGAATAGCCTCTCTTTTAAAAATATATTTTTAATATGTTAAAACAAATTTTAAGTTAAAAATTCTGAACATGTTAACAAGGCTCTGATACCACAAGATTCATAGTTCAATGAGGCATATGTCAATTCTTCTTTATATACAAGGTACTGAGTTCCTTCTATGATATCTTCCTTGGTTCCTTTATTTTGGAGCAACCAGCAGTGAAATTTTGAAAGTAAAACTATCCTCTTAGTCATAGACAGAAATGTACCTTGAAAAATATCTACTAATTAAAAATTTTAGAACTAAACTCTGGAAAGTTCATATACAAAAATCTGCCTACTTACTTATCTAGAACAGTTCCTATAATCTGATGAGTACCTGAGCATGCATCTTTCAGACTATAACTATGAAACTATTTTATTGTTTTACTTTTTTAGTTCTACGATTAGATAATGCACCTGAACCATATGATGTAAGTTTTGGGAATTCTAGCTACTATAACCCAACTGTGAATGACTCTTCCATGCCAGAAGGTCGAGAAACTGCACGTGATGGCATTCCTATGGATGACATACCTCCTCTTCGTACCTCAGTATAAAACGAAGAGGGAAAAGGCTTCGAACAGCATGTATTCGTCTGCATCCTGGTCTTTTAACAAAAACTTTTCTTCCAAGAGATTACACAAGATCACTGTCATGTGGATTGTGCCAAGGAGAGTCTGTTGTAAAACCATGAGACTAGCAGCAGAAACACAGAGATGATAAGTCATTTGGAAAGTTTGCTTTCTAATAATTTTTTGGCTGTGCTGAAGTATTCATTAAGTAACCTTAGTTAATATTGTAGTCTGTTATTTTCCTAGTAGGAAATGTTTGTGAAATCAGCTAAAAGTAAAAGATTTCACCATGGTAGCCCTGGTTGATAATTTAATAATAAAAAAATTATTATACAAAAAAATAGAAAACCAAAACTTTATTGTTGTGGCAAAACCCAATGGAATTGTCTTTACTGTTTCACCTACAGTCTCAGTGCCATAATCAATGTCAATATTTTCTTGAAGAAAAGCTGGAAAGGTGATATAAATAAATGTTTGGCATAAAGCAAGAAAGAGAATATAGCTCAGAGTTTCTATGCCTGGGAAATTAAGACAATAGGAATGAAAGACTTATATTCTAGTCCATTATAATCTTCTGAATCAGCACATATATGATCAGTACCTTAAGTTGCCAAATTGACAATGTTTGCATTTCACAGGGCCTTGGTAGGAAAGCTGACCCTAACCAGAAAAGTTATAGCTTCTCTACAAGTCTTCAAAGATTGGGGAATTCCAATCTTTCTGAATATACTTTCTGAATATACTTTAGCCTTCAGTTTACAACTCAATGAAAAACATCCTTAAAAAAAGGAGACAGCCAAAGATATGCCTGTACATAATTCGTAAATTTTAAGTTGTTATATAGGAACAGGATTTATTATACATTAGACATTGTTTAGTCATGCATGGAATAGATTCTGCATCTCTAAATGTATGAAGCATAAGATTTTTGAAAGATGGATGAAAATATTAAACAAAAATTTTCTGCTCATTACTTTCATGAGTAATAATACATGAAGCTTAATTTATAGTGTGTTTCAATCTGCTATTAATTACTAACTGCCTTTGGCAGGAAAATAAACATGTTCCTTAGTGTAGGAAGGTCTAGGCTTTAGAGGTTAGAGGGTAAGATCAAGAGCTAAATTTCTAAAGAAGCAGTGAATGTATGAACAAGACAAAGTCCAACCTAGAGATTTTATTGTTGAATTGATACATGTGTGTGTGTAAAAGACCACAGCAATGACCTCAAAAAAATAAGGGCTAGAGATCAAGTAACAAAAGGACATACTTACCCCATATTGCCATAAAAATAGCAAAGAAGACTGTTCCTCCATTATCAAACAAATATGTCACCTTGATGGAAAACAAATAAAAATATTATTAGTCATACTATCGAGTACAATAATTCAGTGATTACTGTTTGCGTTTAGGTACTATGTTTTTTTCCCCAAATAGAATATTATCTTACAGTTTGTAAATACAATATATTAAAGATTTTCATGGGTCCTGCAGCTATTTTATACATTTTTATCATGAGAAAAGGTGAAGAAACAGCATTTTTTCACTCTTTTCTACTCTCTTCCCCTTGATTCCCTTTTCCCTGTCTTCATTTCTGCTTAGAAATAGTTTTACCACCCTGGGGAAATATTTGTGGGCCACAGATAGTCAAACTACAATGACTTGTAAGAAATTAGCTTTTCAGATGAGGTGTAGCTAGTTGCATTTCTATTAGACAAACTTCCGGGAGTGGAGAAGTTGGAAAGTGAAGAATTCTGCCAGTGAGACTCACACTACCGATGGGAAGGTATCACAGAGCTGACCCTAATTTCTAATGCCTCTCTCAAGGGAACATGAGTCCAGTAGTGGCTATAAGATGTAATGAATCCCATGTTAAGTTGTTTTAAGAAATTTCATAAATCACTGAATATTTATGAAACAAAGTGTTTTTTAATCAGATACTAACTGAAGCTTGATAAAGAACAATATATAGTTGTACAATGTTATTGAATACAATTTTCAGGGTCACAAAGATTATTTGATTTTAATAAAACAAATTCAATTTACTTTTGCTTGTTTTTATTTGCATAATGTCCTCACTATATCTGTAATTTAGTGAGGAAAATTAAACTAATATAGCCAAGGCAATTTTAAATGTTTGGCCAGCACATAAATATCATAGAAACTATAGAGAAGATAAGGACACTATCCTTCCAGGAGAGTAAGGCTAATTATGGGCTAAAGACCATTATTATAAGGGGAGCTGGAATAGAATGGTGTCCTTTTTGCCCGGTCTAAAGACTAAAAGAAGGCCAACGGCGGCATTAAAATAACATTAATGCATATTTTAATCTGAAAACCAATATGTAAAACAGGTAATCATAGAATGCATTTTCTATAATATATTATTGAAAACATCATCATAAAAACGATGTGCTTCTTTTGAAGGTTTATAGATATATGCCAGTGTCCTATATGGCTTTAAAATGCTACTGTGGTTAAAACTTGGAACTTTTAAAAGCATAATAAGAATTGGTTTTCAGAACAATCATCAGCATACATTATGTACAGGAGAGAAAAGGATCATAAAGACGTCTCCTACAGAGCTCTTAAAATTGCACTCGGCAGGGGCATCCAGCGTTTTTGTTTCCAAAGGAATCCCACAGGGACACCTGAAACTGCAGAGCGGATAAACAGCTGTCTATTTCCCTTTATAAACAGGTCTTATACAGGAAACAGCCTCTTAGAATGTTAGAACAGAGATTTTACACGTGGGGACTTAAAGGTCACCAAGAAATAATGGTTCTCCCCTGCTCCAGAAATAACTGTGCTTTTAGAAAAGTGGCAAATAAAAAAGCTAGAGTGAACAACAATTGTGTTGCTTGGATGTGCTTTGGCATAGCTGACACAGTATTTTCCTCTAAAGTACCTCTCATTATTTTTTATTTCTTGCCAAGTTTGCTTATATCACTTCCAGGCTTTCTCTTTAACTCAATCAATGTAAACATTAACTTTTTAAGAAATTCATGAGATACAGTAGGTAGACATGAAATATTCATGTAACGTGGAATTACATAGATGTAATAGGAGATAAAGCTAGAAGAATAGTAAAGAAGACTTCAGAAGTTGCTCCAAGGAGGAGAATAACAGTTTAAAATCACATGTTAGTTTTACCAAGCTATTAGGTATTGGATGGATTAGGACAGGTAAATTCATGGAGATAAGAAAAGCAACTAGAGACCAGTGGTAACAGCGTGAGTTGCTAAGGACTTTATTTAAAATGCTGATATAAGAGCTGCTCAATAAAAATAACAGGAGAAAGAAGGAAGAGTCAAGCTTACTGCAGATGGCTCACAGTTAGATCATGGATAATCGTCAAGACAATAAAATGAGAAGTGGCCTTCGGTCTAACAGGACAAAAACACTTGCTATATTGAAGAAAAACTCTAGTTGAAATCTTGAGAAAACTCCTCAGGCAGCATACCAGATGTGTGACAGCAAAAAAGAAACTTTTTCTATCTGTTTTCGATCTGGGCAATAAATTATTTTATTAGAAAAATAGCTTACTTTATGAATGGGGGACCCATGACAAGCATTTTATTCAACATTGTTTATGTGAACAGGTGTGATATATGAAGAGGAAAGCATATCGGGGCCTATACAAATCTGTGCTTAAGCACAAATTTTCCATTATCTTTGACTTGTGATGTTTCTTACAGAGTTGAGTGTGGCTATAAATCAATAAATGTGAGAGTTGTTTAAGGAGACACATTTTGTATTAAGTTGGGAGCTTATGTCTCCTCCACTATAGCTGCTGAATCTTTCTCTAAAATTGCTTAATAGGTTCGAAATAGCATAAGGCTCTAGAAAATGCCATTATACCCCCAGTGAAGTTCTTCAAGGTTAAGGAGAACAAGGTGCATCCTAGAAAGATTCAATCATGTAGGTCAGGCTGTTAACTGGAGGAGTGGAGGACAGAAAGTCAGAATTTAGGCTGGAGTTCAGTTCCCTCTTGCTTCCTCAGTCCTTAACTCAAGGCCTGGACAAAACCTGAATAACCACCTATATATTGGCTGAACCTGGACACATGTTACAACAAACGTGGCCTCTTGATTAGTCCATTTCCTACACAACTTTCAAAAATATTGTCCTAGGAATTCGTATCATTTGAAGATCTTGTTAACATGCAGAACAACTGATTCTGAATTTCAGGATATGGGGCCCAGGAATCTGCTTTTTAACCAATGTGCTAGGTGACTCTGTTGTCTATAGTCTTATACAGACTCTTTCATGAAGTTTCTTAAAGAAAAAAAACCCAGCATCTCTCCTATTTCTGTTGTAGTCTTAGATCAGTGTACTGCCTGAAGCTCATATTAACTATTGAGTTTGTTAAACAAGTAAAATAAACAAACAAAACAGAAAATAAGTGTTGTGGAAGTAACTTTAAGAGTTGAGTTATAATTGAGTTATAATTTGAGTCATTTTTCAAATTATATGAGAAAACAATTTAGGACCTTCCATCAAATTATTTCACCTTCAATAAGAAATTTTAGCATCACAGTGTTGGACAATGTAGTGTCAGTATTTTTGAATGTGTGCAAACCTCAATAAATTACTTAACTGCAATTTTTTTTTAATTCCCATACTTTTAAGTGTTGAAAATGAAAACAGTCATCTACATAAATGTTAATGTACTTAAATATAATTTTATTATATGAGGGAAACAATTTTTATGCAAACCCATTCCTCAAATTATAAAAGGAATAATTGCATGTACATGACATAGTTTCCAATATATAATATAGCAGACTTAATTTCCTATTATTTGTCACAAGTGGTGATGAAATCTATGATGAACTGAATTAACAAGTACCTAGATCATGTGGCTAGATAATACCAAATTGGTTGGTTTATTCTTCTGGTAAAAATCTGTTCCCTTTTATCTGACTCTCCTCATCAAGTAACTTATAGATATTTAAGTATATAAATTGATATAAAAAGGAATGTTTTTTCATCCAATAAGGAAAGAGTAATTCTGCTTTTTAAGGTATAAAACATGAAGCTACATTTTATCTTGGCTAAAGAAACAAATAAAAGATGTATTAAATATTTCATCCTAGTGGGTTTTATTTCTTGTATTCTTCCATAAGGTAATATTCTCCTCTGCAAGCTAACTTTGCCATCTCTCTTGTAAAAATTATTAGTCAATTCTTTCTGAGTCATACCTGCCCTTAAATGTACATTTTTGCATTGAGGAAAGAAGGAATATATTAATTGCACAATGACAAAAGCACTTTAAATGTAATGTCTCCTCAGACAATTTCTTCACTTTTTCACTCTATCATATATGGGTGTTTCTTATCTTTCACGTTCAGATAACACTAATGTGCTTTATTAGCTTTAATCTAAGTAAAAGCAAAAGTAACATATATCTAGAAAGGTTGATGTCCCTAAGGCTATTTTATGTCGTTGAAATACAAGGGCTGAGAGAGGGACATGTGTTTACATCTAATAACACTAACACAGTTGACTCTAACAAAACGTGATGAGGAAGTGCTGCTTCCAAACAAGATATCCACATTTCTAAGTCCTATCATCTTTGTAGGACATTTAAGAGAATTCAAAACTAAACATAATTTAAAAATTAAAATGTAAACAAAACAGACATTTCACATGCTCCTCATTCAAGATAAATAATTCAGAAACTAATTTGACTAATTTTGGTCTTGTAGTAAGGACGTTGAGTGACTTGGTTTTGTACTCATTGCTAAAACAAATTATATAGAGATCTCCACTTTTGGACAAGATGAACTAACAAGGTTGATTTTACTCCTATGCTGGAGACAGCCAAACAACGAACAAAAATGTAAAACAACAGATTGCAAGTTGGTGAACATCAGACAACAAAAGGCAGTGATCTCTGAGAGGTGGTAAACAAACAAGGAGATCATTACTATTGCCTCAGATTATTGTCCTAAAAGAACTCTGAGGGTGTAGAGAAGGAAAACTCGGACAGTACTCAGTGAGCATGCATGCAAGGAAAACACCTGAGGTCAAAGAGTCATTTGAAAAGATTAGTCAGAAAGAGTGACTATTCCCACCAACCACATTGAAAATCTTCATTATCCACAGTGATTTAGACAGTGCATACAAAAAGATATCGGTTTTCTTGTGGAAAATAATTAGCTCTAGACAGAGCCCTGCTGTGATTCTACAGCAACTATTTTAAATAAGGCAATATTCAAATATATAATATTCAAATATATCAAATTATTTTCAAATAAGTAAATCATAATGAGATACCTGTAGACATCTATGAGAATGGTTAAACATTTAAAAGATTGACTGTGTGGAGTTTGTTTCTGTAACTATACAGAATTCTTACACACTGGGATTCTTACACACTGCTGGTGGGCATGTAAAATGCTACAAACATTTTGGAGAGTTTTGTTTAGCAGTTTTTTTCAAAAGGTTAACCATGTGACTATCACATGACCCAGCCATTCCACTCCTAGGTTTTATCCAAGAGAAATAATAGCATTTGTCTGTATAAAGATTTATGGATGAATGTTAATAGCAGCCTTGCCTAAAATAGGCAACAAATTTGAAACAATTCAATTTTTTACGTAGGTAAATGAATATACCAACTGGCATAGATATAATAGAATCATACTCAGGAATAAAGAGGATTGATTTACTGATGAATGCTACAACATGAATGAATTTCAAAATAATCATGCTGTGTGAGAAGCCAGAAGAAAATTGCACATTATATGATTCCATTTACATAAGAATATAGAAGACACAAACTTATGTATAACGACATAAAGCAGTGGGCTGCCTGGGCATAGGAGTAGGGTTAGGGAAGGATTATAAGAGACTGTCAGAAAACTTTTGGAGGTGATAGATATGTTTATTACCTTGATGGTTGTACGTATGATGTATACATATAACAAAATGTGCCAATTCATAGAGTTTATTACATGCTCATAGAGTTTATTACATGCTCATTGCTTTACAAATAAAAATAATTGTGGGATTCCGATTTTCTAAAACTTGTATAAACTTTGAAATTATCTGAGAAATTTTAAAATGTACTAATATTTAGGCTCTAATCCCAAAGATTCTGATTTAATTACTCTGGGGTGTGACCCGGGCTTCAGGAATTTTAAAAACTCTTCAGGTGATTCTAATAGGCAGCTATTTGGGAATTTTTTGTATATCTCGTTTTCTCTGTACAATTGGAATATTTAAATTTCATGTATTTTCACAGGAGATACAAATTTAATCATTAGCAATGGAAATAATTGCTCATTTTCTAAAAAATCTAGATAGAATTACAAGTGGAAGTTGATGTCTATGGTGGCAAAAATCAGTTATCAAAACAAAGAAAGACAAAAATACTTAAATAAAAGTATACCTGCTTCGTAACTGCACCGACATTTTTTCTGTTGTCAATGACACTAACACTCATTGAAACATTTGAGAACAATTATTTTTGGTCATAGGCTACTTACTGGAGGACTTATCTTTTTTCAATTTTTCCCATATCTTATTATAGTGATGATAGCAGGAAATGTTAAAGAAATAAAAATAATAACACATTTATATATTAAATTATTGTTTGCAGTTATACTCAATAAAATCTTTTAAATGATTGAAGAAAATACTGTAAAGTAGGATACATAGAAATTACTATCATGTTTTTGTGGATGAAGAAAGACATAATAGATGAAGGTTTAGGCAAAATGGAAAAGCCAAAAGAGTAGGCAGTTATTTGATTTTTTGTTTTATAATACGTGATATTCTATTACACTTTCTGCAGGGGTTATTAGGTTTGGTTATTGCAGATAGGCTTTGTAAATTAAAATAAAACCGAATCTGACTTACAAATCACCATGCAAGAGTCATGAGATCATTTTTATGCCATCTTATACATCAGAATAAAAATGCATAAAATAACTCATAAAACCCACAAAGGAGATACCCCAGGTATGGCACATGAGCACAAGGGACCTCCTTGAACTCTCCAGAGCCTATCTGTGCAAAAGAGCTAGTTAAGGCTAACACATATAGACTGCATCTCATTCATACAATTAAAATTATGGGCCGGGCTCGGTGGCTCAGCCTGTAATCCCGTGCCTTTAGGAGGCTGAGGTGAGTGGATTGCCTGAGCCCGCGGGTTCAAGACCCGCCTGGGCAGCGAGACCTCATCTCTATAATAAATCAAAAAATCAGCCGGGTGTGGTAACGCATGCCTGTAATTCCGGCTACTTGGAAGGCTGAGGCGGAAGGATCGCCGGAGCCCAGCAGGTCGAGGCTGCGGTGGCCGGGAGCGGCCACTGCACTCCAGTCTGGGTGACAGAGTGAGACTCCAACTCAAAAAAAAAAAAAAAAATTATGGGATGGCAGGCAAAAACATGTTCAGTAACCTGAAATGTTACCCCATCTTCAGGAAATACATTTAACCACCGAAGCATTTGTCAAACTGTTTTGTTTTTGCAAGCTTTGCAAAATCAGAGCCTACTGTCTCACCAAAAAGACTACAAAAGGTCCCAGCTTTGAGATAACACTCTTGAGCTACTATTCAGCCTGGGCCTACTCCTGTCTTTTCTTTGGAGTCTACTGTCATCTGTCACTTTTACTCAGTAAACTACTCTTTGCTTTTGCTCTTGAAAAAAATGTATAAAATATGCCTCTGGATGACCTACATACTACCACTTGCACTAAATATCAACATTGCCATAGAAAATTCATCAACTTTTGGTTTAAATATTTTGATCTAAATAGAAAATAAATACCGGACTGTATATGGGTTTAATCAAGGATGCACATGACGAGAATCTTATCCAAACTACCAACATAAAGATTTTCAATGAATGCATGTTAAAAGCCATTGAATAAACAACTATTTGGCAATTATGCTTAACCTTGTACTCTGCATTGGGAAAAACACATGAAGAGATAGTCTCTACCGTTAAGATTTTACACACGTTTCTAGAAAAATAGACATACAGACTTCTTAATGCCTCGGGAGGAGAATGCAAGGGTGCACACTCACCTTGGCGTAGATACAGCTGTCATTGAGTCTCTGCAGTGAGCAGTTCTTATCACAGAGAGGGCACATAAAGACTTCGGTGGCCTTGCAAATTTCTTGGCTTGAGAAATGATAGGAAGAAAGAAAGAAAGCATAAACTTCTGTGTTTAGGAAGTCGCTTATCCCCTGCATTAAATCCTGTTGGATGCTGCAAGGCTGAGAGGAAAAGGAGATGAAGTGAAAACAGGGAGGGAGTGGTGGACAAGGAAGGAAGAACTTCAGGCTGTGGCTCAGACTCAAATACTTGAGAATATTTGTGATGCAAAGGATTTTGTTTGCTTCTTTGATTTTGGAGAACTCTGTGAAGATATTGTAATGATAGCAGGCAGTATTTTATGCTCGTGCAGCACTGGTGTGACACTGGTGTTTACAATGACATATTTGCATACACGCCACTCTCTCTTGTGAGGTGAAAGTGGATTTTAAATCTAGCTCATGGGCTTGGTAGTGGCTGAGCTGGAATCAAATCTGACTATTTGAACTTCTGGAGTCTAGTGATCACAACATTTATGTCTTCCCTGTAGTACATCATGTTTATCCGGAATGTTTATTGGAAATTAAAGGAGTTGCCTACTAATTTTTTCATAGTGCCTTGACACACAGTGTCAAACTGACATAATGCCATGTAATAGTTTATATTTACATAAATATATTCTTTAATGGAATGTAACTTCATGACATAAGTCTCTTCAGTTTTGTGTCCAGTGCCTTTAAAAAACATCTCAGCATGCATTATAGATGACTTTGTCATAGGAGTTGGGAATCAATTACAATTTCTGAAAAAATCTCACAGACTCAGAGTTATCAACAACCCAGTTTTCCGATGATTTGTGCCTTTTTCTTTCAAACGTGGCTCTTGTCCACTTAGTATTCCCTGAGTAAATCGCCTTTAAGTAAATCTTCTCTGAAAATATTGAAAGGAATTTAAAGGCTTTACAAAATACAGCTGAACATGTATCTCTTAATACAAGTTTAGTTGACAATTTTTACAAGTTGTTGTTTTTAAACATGTATACACTTGAAGCAAAAAAAAGAATGCATGTGTATTTCAAGTGTGGGATGTATGTAATTTCAAACCAAAGTGGAAACTAATAGTAAACAATGATAAGTTCATGTCTGTTAAGTTGTTTAGACTTCACTCCAATGTCAGGTAAGGGTAATTAACTCCAGTAATGAGAGAAAGCCAATGTTCAGTGTTCAACTCTACAAACTTCTCCAGGTTGTAGAGTTAGCAAGAGCTTTTTCGGGAACCTGGGCTTAGATCCAGAACAGTAGATCCAGTTCTTCACAAACTATAAAACAGCTAAAAGAGAGACAGAGTCTATTTCATATTTACAAGGAACTTTTCTATCAAGAAATAATCTACTAATGATGATGATGTAATGGGTTTTATACTATACTTGCTATTTGTGTACTCATTACCCTCCTAGTAATCAGGATGTCTATATAAAGTAGGGGAAGCAGGAGCAACATAACGTTTTAAAAACCCAGAAGAAAGAGAAGACTACATCTCCTCTTTGCAATACTACTCATTTATAGGAACGAGAGGTATTAACACACTTCTTGAGGAAAATCTGCTTAAAATGGGCTTGTTATCATAATCCACTGTGTTTCAGAAAGGATACGATGTGTCCTGCACTGGGATCTCATACAAAAAGGTGTTGAAGTTGCTATTTTACATCATCTTTCCTGCTTTCCAGACAGTCAAACAAAAGCCCAGATTTATCAAACCACTAAGTCTAGATTCCACCAATAGAGACTGGGTGCTATGTTTACTGTCAGAATCTTTAATTTACTTTCTAATTTACTTCTGTACACTGCTTAAATCTTAACTTGACACATAACACAAAAATGTTAAATAACTTTTGGCAACTTTTTTTAGTCCACAATAAAAAATTTGAGAGTATAACAAATTTCCTTGACTTTAACCACTAGAGGGAAGAAGAGTGCCTATCTTGATTGTTTTGTAATTTCTTTAGCAGAAATTGACAGCCTAAACAATCACTTGAATTGTGACTTTTGGGGGGGGGGTTGTTTGTTTTGCTAGCTAGACATATTAAAGGCTGATTCCAAGGATATAATAATTATTAACAATTAAAGATAATAAAAGTAGGGAAACATTTATTCATTTGGGGGTAGATGTTTGGATTCATTCACTCCAGGATACTGGTGCCTCTTGGGATTCAGCTAACATGACAAAGTAGAGGACATATCTGCCTGATGGTGTACATTTTGGAAGAAAAGTGTGGAAATAAGAAAAAACAGTATAAATAAAGCACTGCTTTTAGAATCAGATATGATCATCAGGGAAATGTGAATCCAAACTACAATGAGAGACCGTCGACCATCTCATCCCTGTTCAACTATTATATTAAAGAGAGAGAGAGAGAGAGAGAAATTAAGTGCTGGTGAGAATGTGGAGATATTGCAACTCTGTGCACTGTTGGTGAGAACACAAAATGGTGAGCCTCTATGGAAAAGAGTAGCAGATTTATGAAAACATTAAAAATAGAACTACCATATGGTCCAGCAATCCTATTTCTGGATATATTTCAAAAAGAAATAAAATCAGCACCTAGAAAAGCTCTATACGCCCATGCTTATTGTAGCATTATTAACAATATTCAAGATGGTCTTACTTGTGAGAGCTAAGCTAAGCAAAGGCACATAGAATGGTAACATGACACTGGAGACTCAGAAGTGGGGGAGGGAACAGGAGAAGGGATGAAAATCAGCTCTCAGGTACAATGTCCACTGATGGGGGTGGTGGGTACACTGAAACTTCAGATTACTTCTTCACCACTATCCTATGCATCTATGTAATGGAAAACCATTTGTACCCCTAAAACTCTTGAAAAATATTTTTTTAAATCCAAGCTATAGAAACATTTAGGATACAGAAACAAGATATAGACATTTCCAAATGACTCTTGACTGATTCATGTATAAAGAAAATGTGATATACATGTACTAGGGAATATTATTCAGCCTTAACAAAGAAGGAAATCCTTCCATTTGTGACAACATAGATGATGCTGAGTGAAACAAGCCAGACTTAGAAGAACAAATACTACCTGATTCAACTATGTGAGGTATCAAAAATAGTCAGACTCATTAAAAAAACAGTGTACAATTGTGGATGCCATTGGCTGGGGGAGGGAGAACTTGGAATTAAATGAATATAAAATTTCAGTTATACAATATGAATAAGTCTGGAGAGCTGCTTACAATAATTATCAATAATACTGTATTGTGTGTTTAAAAATGTGTTGACAACTAGACGGATATGGTGGCATGTGTCTGTAGTTCCAGCTACTTGGAAGACTGATGCAGAAGAATTGCCTAAGCCCAGCAGGTCCAGCAGATCAAGGCTGCAGCGGCCATGGGCGTGCCACTGCACTCCAGCTGGGTGACAATAGTGAGACTCAAAAAATAAAATAAAATAAAATGAAAATGAGTTGACAGTGGTTCTTATGCTATGCTCTCATCACTATTAAATATTTACTAACAATTCAATTGAAAGTATTCATTAATTAAAATTAAAACATTCATAAATTATACCAATTATAGTTCTATCATTGCTTCTGTATTAATTAAGATCATATAATCATTAATACTACTAATAATTTTAAAAATCAAAAATGGGTTTGAAACTTATTAGATATATCATTTCTAGATATATTACCCTGATCAAGTTACCGTCCAAAACAGGAACAATTTCTTCATCTCTAGGCAAGGATGTCTAACTGGGATATCAGATAAAGAATACTAGCCGGGCTCAGTGGCTCAGTCTGCAATCCCGTGCCTTTGAGAGGCTGAGGTGAGTGGGTTGCCTGAGCCCACGGGTTCGAGACCCACCTGGGCAGCGAGACCTCATCTCTACAATAAATA